AAAGAATTTTTTATTTTTTTAAAGGGTATAATAAATATATATTTGACAATTAATTTAAATTAAAAATAAAAGTGAGCCTTTAATTTCTTAATTGTAAGATCAAATTCGTTCACATAACGTTAGTATGGAAATGAATATTTATTTTTGCATCTTTTATGTAAATTAAAGACTAAAATATATTTATTGTATTTTTAAAATAAAAATTATGAAAATCATTTATTAAAATGTTTTTTTATAAAAGTCATTTTTATATTATTTTATTAATAACACTTTAATAAATTTGGGCCTATTTGGTATCCTCTTCCCCAAAAGGTATTTTCAGGGAAGCTGCATGCATAATATGACTTGGTTTATTTAGGATTTGTAATTTTTTAGCATAAATCCCAACAAAAAATCCAATGCCATAAAATTTGATTTAAAGAAATATAAGAACTTATTAATAATATAATCAATTATAATTGTCTAAAAAATATTTTTCAGTGAAAAATATAATCAATTACTTTTTATAACAAAATTTAGGCAGAAGGTGTAATTCAATCCTTGTGCTTGCAATGTTGTGGCAAGTCAGCCCCTATATTTTTAACCATGACAAATCAACCCCTCTACTTCATGAAGTCCGCATAACAGCCCATTTAATTAAAACTGACGTCATCCAAACTTTAAACCCTTCAATTCCTCGTTAAAGCCTGATGAGGTGGCGTTGATTTGGGCATTGATTGCTTTATGTCAAGGGGCCTCTTTTTTTTCTTTTTTTTTTTTTATTTAAATAAGTTGATAAGGGGTAGGCTCGAAATCCATCGAGGAAGGGAAATGCATCTTAAATTGGTAGGATGTCAGTTAATTCGAAGGGTCAGGTGTGTAAAGGGAGGCTTCTTTTGATCTAGGATATTTAAAATATTGTATTTTTTTTTTATATATTAGAAACTCATAAGATATTATTTACGAGCGGGTGGATGAGTAGACAGGAGACTTTTTTAGTTTAACTAGAGATTTTGGTTTCAAACCTTAAAAATGCAGCTCTGTTAAAACTCGTAAATGAAGGTTTTGTCGCTCGTTGGTTGATGTCCAGTTCAAATCTGAATTAATCGATGGCTCAGTGGGTTTCCAGATATCGGGTAGTCCAAACCAAAAAAAAAAAAAATGAAACTCATAAGATATTAAGAAATTTTTAATTTATATTTTTAGAATACTAGTATAATTAATTAATATAAAAAATAATTAAAATTAAAATTATATAAATTATTTT